TACGTCTAAGACTACCTTCATAGCAAGATGTAGCAGTGCAAGATTTGGGAACTGAAGGGAGCCTTCTGGGATGCTTAGAGGGGTGGTGGGGATGACAACTTCTTTGCCTGCAGAACATGAAGAAAAGATGTAGTATTGTGTGTCTGTGTGTTGTGTTTGGTTTGGTACACTTAAGGAAAATGGTGGTGGTTTTTCCTGCTGGGTGGGAGAGAAAAAAGAAGCCTACAGATCTTGAAGCTTGCCATCTTGAATCTGTTCTGAATTAAATCTGTTAAGAAAGAACCATTCTCTGTGCTCGTTGCTGAAGCAGAATTCAGCTCAATCATGGGAGCAGCATAATATAAATTCTACATTTCTGCCAACTCATAGACAGTGGGAATGCATGTTAATGCAACATGTGGAAATCAGCTGGATGTTGTTTTTTTTATAATGTTGCTACAGTAATTGCATATCCATTCTTCCAAAGAGCTCGGTTAATTGGGCCAGTTGGCCTTCATACTTTCCTTTGTCTGTTTTAGACTTTTATCCTCACTCTTTGCAACTGTTTCACAGCTTATGATTATTCCATTTTCTGGGGCTCATTTCCTCTGACTTATGGATGCCTGCCTTCCTTACTTCCTGGATTCACACTATTTTGAATGGTAATTAACATTTGCTGATTTGATTTCTGCATCTCCAGAGCCTAGTTCAGACAGAACCCACTGCTTATGTGATCCTTCTGTTTGGTGAAAATGTGGACATCTATGCTTCTCTGAACATCTATCATGAGGACATATTCTCCCCTATCATGGGGAATGCATCCATATTTCGACACTCAACCAGTGTCTGGAAATGAATGAATCAGAAGCTTGAATAAAATGCATCCAAATCACAGATTCCCTACTGTTGACATTGCAGTCCATGGAGCTTAATGTAAAAAAGATTATCGAAGATGTTGTCCAGGGCTGGTAGCTGAAATCCGACAATATTCTGGGCAATTTTAATGATTCTCTGTAGAGCTTTTTTGTCCCCTACAGAGCTACTTCCATACCATGCAAGAATGCCGTATGCCAGGACACTCTCAATGGTGCTGTGATAGTAGGACAGAAGTAAATGCTGAGATAAATTTATCTTCCTGAGCATTCTCAGGAAGTACAGCCTCTTCTGTGCCTTCTTCACAAGCATGTTAGCATTCATAGTCCATGAGAGGTCCTCCGAGATATAAGTGCCCAGAAATTTAAAACTACCCACCCTCTCCACCTCCTCACCATTTATGTACAATGGTAGATGTACATCTGTCTTCCTCCTGAAGTCAATTATAAGTTCTTTAGTTTTTGTGGTGTTAAGTTTGAGGTTATTTTCATTACACCACAATGTCAGCCCTTGTACCTTCTTCCTGTAAGCAGACTCATTGTTCTTATTAATGAGCTCCACCACTGTTGTGTCATCCGCAAATTTAATAATTGTGTTGGTGTTATACAGTGGGGTGCAGTCATACGTGTACAAGGAATAAGCACACAACCCTGGGGGGCTCCTGTGCTTAATATCAGAGTAGAGGAATGGTGAGATCCCATCCTTACTGACTGTGGCCTACCTATCAGAAAATCCCTAATCTACAAGCAAATCCTCTGATTTATACCCAAATTGGACATTTTAAAAAACAACCTGTTGGGTAAAATGGTGTTAAAAGCAGAGCTATAATCCACAAATAACAACCTTGCATGTGTCCCCTGTTGTTCCAAGTGATTCAATACAGTATGGACAACAAGAGACATAGCATCATCAGTTGATCTATTACCCCTATATGCAAATTGGTATGGGTCCAAAGTAGATGGAAGACTAACCTTAATATAGTTCAACACCAGCCTCTCAAAACATTTCATAACAACAGATGTTAAAGCTACTGGTCTATAATCATTAAGCGATACCACTACTGTCTGCTTAGGAACTGGCACTATAATAGATGTCTTCAGGCAGGTAGGGATAGAGCACTGCGACAGGGATAGATTGAAAATATCCATGAACACTTCAGCTAGCTCTGCAGCGCAGTCCCTGACAACTCATCCCAGAATTCCATCAGGCCCAGCTGCCTTCCAGATATTAACATTCTGGAAAGTGCATCTCACATCAGAGATCTGCAGTAGAAGTGGTTGTCTATCAATGGTAGATGTTAATGGTGCACTATCAGTAGTAAATGCTGGAATGATGGTCGTTCCTGTGTCCACCTCAAAATGGCTGAATTGATTTAGCTACTCAGCCAAAGAGTCACTACTCCCAGGCAAACTATTTTTATTATTTTGTCCTGTGATTTGTCGCAGACCTTGCCATACACGACCAGAGTCTGAGTTCTCAAAAAGATGTTCAATCCTCCATCTGTATGTAGATTTAGTGTCCTTGATGCCCCTTTTCAATTTAGCTCTTGCCTCGCTATACTGTAGCGCATCACTAGAATGGAAAGCAGCATTTCTTGCTCTTAATAAAAGACACACTTTTCTATTTATCCAGGGCTTGTTGTTAGAGAACACCCGTACTTGTCTGTGTTAGTGACAACATCTTTTAATGTAAAACAGTACTGTTGAAGTGTAAATGTCAACATTGTTCTCTTCAAACAGTGCCCAATCAGTATCCCAAAACAATCTTGAAGTTGCTCCGATGCATCCGCTGGCCACATCTATATTTCTCTAATTGATGGTCTAATTCTGTTGACAAGAGGTCTATATGATGGGATCAAGAACACAGATATCTGATCTGACTGTCCCAGGTGGGGTAAAGGCATAGTCCTGTATCCATGCATGATGTTACTATATACTTGATCCAAGGTATTTTTCCCTCTAGTGGGACAGTCTACGTACTGATAGAACGTAGGGAGGACAGTCTTTAATTTGGCTTGATTGAAATCACCTGCAACCACCAGCACTCCATCCGGGTAGGCCTGTTGCTGTTTGCTAATAGCAATTAACAGGTAACTCATGGCTGTGCTCATGTTAGCATCAGGAGGTATATATACTACAGTTATCACAATATTAAACTCACCAGGCAGATAAAAGGGGCAGCATTTCACTGCCAAGTATTCTAAATCAGGAGAACAGTGAGTGTCCATTATTTTAACATTTGTGCTCCAGTTGTTATTTATGTAAACACAAAGTCCCCCTCCTCTGCTCTTCCCAGAGACCATGGTTCTATCCGCTCGATAAACTGAGTGTCCTGGTAATTCAATAGCCTCTCCTGGAATGGTAGGGTCAAGCCACGTCTCTGTAAAGACCATGACACAGCAGTCCCGAATGTTTTTCTGCAGAGAGATAGTAAGTTCCAGCTCCTCAATCTTATTAGGGAGAGATCTAACCTTTGAAACAAAAAGACTTGGCAATGCAGGCTTATGAGGATTTTTTCCTAACCTTACACACAGTCCGGCTCTACAGCCTCATTTCTGCCTGCGTTTCCTTCTCCTTTGTTTCCTTTGCTCTCTAGCAGGGTGAGTAACCCACGGTATCATTCTAAACAGCTCAGCTGGAATGTTGTAGTTTGAGACTCCTTCTATTACTTGCTGCATTTTAATAGGGAAAGACTTGAGACATTCATGGATAGTAGGTGCTATAGTGTGGGATTTCAGGTGTGGTTAAATTATGTAGACTTTTTTAGAGATGTTATAGAACTAAATGTCTGCCTTTGCAGTAAAGATGGCAAAATTGTAGCACAAGACTGACTCAGCCATGGAAATACATTGCTCAAGAAACAAACACAGAGACTTCCCCAAATCTCAAATTTAGGATCTCCAGGTTTCAACTTAGAGGCACATCTCTTCCTTCTAAAGCTGAAGAGACAAAAGTGAAGCCTCTGTCCATATTTTCCTAGTCCAGTTCCATCTTTTCCTCCTTCTTTGGCAGCTTTCTAACAGAGCAATAGAAGAAGCCATAAGTTATACAATCTGATCACACATTTTGAATTAAAGGCAGAAACTCTAAGTTGCAACCTTGGAAGTTAAACAAAAAAGGAAGCAGGCTTACTGTTCTATAATTAATTTCTTAATTAGTAATAAACATTATGAATGCGAGCAGTGCAGTGGCCTAGAGGTGGAGCTCTCACCTCACAATCAGGAGGCTGTGAGTTCAATCCTAGGTAGTGGCAGATATTTCTCTCTCTGGGTGCAATGAGTTATTATTTGCTGTGATCTCCATATAGGCATCAGGAAGAGCATCCAGGCATTAAATGCTCAGCTCCATTCAGTTGCCCTAACTCCATCCCAAAGCAAGGGATTTCAGGGTTGTTAAAAGAAAAAAAATGAATGCAATCTTATTTCTAATTAATTAATATTATTAATGTATTCAGCTTATTCAGATCTCATCTTTACACTCAGTTTAAGGATCACAGTCTACCAAGCTAAGTGATTCTCACTTATTATTTAAAAAAAATGGCAAAGATAGTGGAAAATTCTATTTTGCATTCAGGATTTGCTTCTTGGGCAACTATTCTGGAAAACTACATTTGTAATATTAAGGATATATTTAAAAGAACAAGTTATGCTTTAATATAGTACAAAATTTGAGCTTGGTAAAATTGCAATCATTTATTGATTAAAATGTTAATTAAAATTGTTCACTTCATGCTTCTTGTACCTTATTGACCAGTGAAGCTATAATGAGAACTACAGAAATGGAATTTATAGTCTGAAATCATTTGCAAAACAGCCATTTTGTATTAAGTGTACTTAAAAGTCAATGGAAATATGTTACATAAATACAATATTTATGAAACAATTGATTGAGATAAAACAAGAGTTCTGCAGAGACCTAACTGATGCTGAATTAAAAATATGACATCTTAGGAGGAAAAAAACCCTGTTTATTTGCTTTTCAGTAGTCATACATTTTGCAGAATAAGAACATGTTTTTCATTTGGAATGTGACAGTCAGATTTTCAAATTTTTGCCAAGATCAACACAAATGCTAAGTACATTAATTATGGATCTAGTTGTTTCAGAAATAGTCTTCTTTTATTTAAACTGAGCTTTTTTCTTCTTCCAGAAAATTTTTCTGAGTGCTGCAAATGAGGAAGAAATATTTTCACACCTGGGCTTGGATTACCTTGAACCCTGGGAAAGAAATGCCTAAAGAAATTTTTAATAAGGTTACACCATTTCACTGTTTCAAAGCAAAGTTTTACTTACCTGAAAAGCATATCTTTATTATTAGTTAGGGAAAAAGATCTTAAATACATTGTGAATATTTGTTGTAGGTGTGGATTTCCTTAGAATAGTTGGCAATTGATATTTTGAAATGTTTCTTTTGTTCTAATTTCCTGCTCTTGTGACAACCACACAATCAAAAGGAAGGGATTGGCAGGAAGTCATAATGAGACTGCTAAATCATGCAGATAACATATTTCAAAATGAATGTCTGTGGAGTGACTTTCAACCTGGCACCCTCCAGATTAACCTCCAGATGCAGCTTTTAGAATTCCTGCCCTCTAAGGCATATCTGGAAGGCCCAAATAATAGAACCCTATCCTACTGCATTTTCAGCTTATTAATGTTTAATGTTTTCTTGTTTTCAGTTTTAATAACTAATCGAACAAGAAAAAAAATTGGTCATTATGCAAAAATAATTAATACCCAGAAATACTCTAATTTTAACTATTCCAAATATCTTTATGCAAACCAATATACAAAAAAAGAACTCATGGTTTGCTATCATAATATAAATGCTACCATTTCGTAAAGAGATTAGTTTGGTTAATGGAACTTTTACTAATTTGAAAGTTATATACTAACTTTTCTATTAATGCAGTGGTCCAAATCCTCCCCCTTTCTATCTCTGTCTCTCTGTTTCTGTAAGCAATTCTTTTAGTACAGAATGGATGCTTGAACTTATTTATTTCAGAAAGGCTGAGTACAGTACGAGAGACCTTTTGTCATAGTGAAATACGATAAATACAGGTGATTTTATTCAGAGATAAACCTGGTCAATATTAAATTATAACTGATTGATCACGCTGATTACTCAGACATGTAACAAATTGATTGACTGCTATTCCTAGCACAGTATTGTTCTTTTCCAGGACTTGCTTATGGATCTGTCACAGGGGCATCATCATGGAAAGTCAATCAAGATGGCATCTACAACCACATTATCAACCCTGCAACCATTCAAAACTAACTTTCTTGCACATGTTGATGTCACATGCGTGGACAAAGGGGCATGTTAACCACAGGGTCCTGGCTATCCTCTTGACGTCTTTGACTCTTCTGCAAACATGGCTGTTGCCAATTGCTTTCACTCTTCCCCCCACTCGTCCTTCATGGACATTCATGCCCAAGGTGGAAACATAGTTTGGCAGAATAAAAAACAAAATATAGTGGACAAAAATTCAAGATCATGCCTGCAACCATGCAACTGAAGTTCTAGCATTTTGCATGCATCTAGATGCAAAAAAAAAAAAAAAAAAGGATTGAGGGTGTTGATTTTGTGGGGATGTGATTACTGTCTCAAAATTTTGAGTAGTTCCTTTGTTCAATCTTTCATATAACCCAACTGAAGAACCTATGGCTGGCTGGGGAATTCTGGGAGTTGAAGTCCACATGTCCTAAAGTTGCCAAGGCTGGAAAACCCAGATATACACCAATAGAATATCATAATAAGTTATGATCTGAATCATCATGCTAAAAGTCTTAGAATCTAAATTTGAATGCAAAACAGATTTTAAAATTAGGGATAAGTCCAAGACAGATCAACAACAATAAGAAAATCACAGTTTACTGAGATACATGTTGACAGCCTTGAGGGTAAACTTAGCACAACATTGGAAAAGGGATGCATCACCATTGAGAATGTAAACTTGGAGATTAGGCAGCAATGGCAAAATTAACAGCATATATTCATAATAGAGGTTTGGCCAAATTTAAGCAGGAATGGTGTCCATGTACATTATATATTATCCAGCATGGCAAACTGAAACATATGGAGCATAGTTTTAAAGGGGGAAATAATTGGCTAAAGAAGTAAAATTAGAAATATATGAAAATTTTGAATATTTTTAAATATTGAACATCAGGAGTATAACAAAGAAGAAGTTAGAATACATTCACTCAATAGTACTTTTACTAGCTTTTTTTTCTTTCCTTCCTCTTTTTTTAAAAAAGAGATTTATCTTTAAATAATAAAGTGGTGGACACATTGGTATTCAGCGAAAATCCTTTCACTTTTTGTTAAAAAGAACTTAACATATTCTGCTTTTTATAGTTAATCCTTCATCTATGATATATACTGAGTACTAACTGTACAACTTTTCAATTTCTCTGTCCCCCTACTGATATTATATATGTCATGCCTCCATTGGAGCTTGAATCTGCGGAGGAAAATGAGCTGGAACGGGACCCTATGGAGGTTGAGGGGGAGGTATCTGTGGCTGCAGAGGAATGTGGGGAAGAGCAGGCAGAGGCAGGCCAGGGCCCTTCAGGAGTGGGACAGGAGGAACAGGAGAGACAGAGTTCAGGCGATGAGCAAGGACCACCCCCACCTGATCCTAGAGCACGGAGAGTGGAGAGAAGGAGGGAACAACGCAGGCAGGCTCAACTACTCGGGAGGAGAGCATCCCACCACTCTCCACAAGGAACACCTGGAGAATGAGATTTAAGGAGATGCTGTGGGGAGAGGCATTTGTCAGGAACTAACACTTATTCCCTGGAGTTTTATGTGTGTTGTTGCTGATCTCTTGTTCTGTGACTTCTGCTTGGAAACTCTGACAATGTTGCTTGGATGTTTAAAGAACTCAGACTGCATTTTAGCTTCCCTTCCGAAACTGCTCAGGCAAGTGTGTATGCACACAGACTCATTAGGTTTATGATGTATGTGTCATTCTTTCTTATCTCTGTGGCCTTGAGTAAATTCATCTCCTAATCAAACTGTATGTGAAACTACTTGCAGCCAGAGGTGTGTGTGTCTTCCTTTGTTTGGAGGTTTTCCAGAAATGTGGGAGCATTTGGGGAAAATTTGGAGCAATTAAAGGGTGGTTTGAATTGCCAGCTGACTGCATTGCCTCTGTGCTGTGCCTTGGGTCATCACAATATATTTGTATTATTATTATTTTTCTTTTATAGGATTATAATTTTGAGAAGTAAAGATTATGTTTAACCTGATGCCAAAGATTCTTGTTTGTATATTCTATTGGATCAGACCCTAAAGCAGTGGTTCTCAACCTTTTTAATGCTGCGACCCCCAACTGGTTGTAAGTCGAGGACTACTCAACTGGTCGTAAGTCGAGGACTACTCAACTGGTGCAGCACCGTTTGCAGAATGGGACTTTTGGCGGGCTCAGCAGGGCAGAGACAGCCTGAACAATTCCTATTGGCTTTTGAAAGCCAATAGTATTAGACTCTATTCAAGAGAGTCTATTCTATTGGCTTTCAAAAGCCAATAGAATAAAAGGGAGTAGCACAGCTAAGGAAAATGGGAAAAAAATGGCGGACTGTGTTGTTTGGTGACCCCCATGAAATGGTCATTCGACCCCAAATGGGGTCCCGACCCACAGGTTGAGAACCACTGCCCTAAAGGATTAGCATACAGTAGTAAGTGGTTTTATTAAAGAAGGCAAAGAGCTGATATTTGATCTCGATATTAGGATTTAGATAAGCTTAGTTTAAACATAGTGTCTACATCTGTTTTTGGAGCTATTATTTTTGATTATTTCAGCTCTGAAGAAGTTGATTAAATTGTTTTTTACAGAATTAAAAACAATATGGAATTAACTCTGAATACTTTTTTGACATCAACATAAGAATTTGATATTTAATTTATCTGTCCTATATGAAATTGTTCCTTCTAATGTTTCACAAAGTTTTAAGTTTTGGCAGTCCTTAAACCAATATTTTTTCTTTATAGAAAGCTGGATAAATGTATTTTATTTATTAATGGCCCTTGATATAACAAGCATGAATATCTTGTTTTGATAAATCAAATGATGGTTGCTTGCTGAAGTTGATATAATTCAGGATTTGGAACATTAACCAATATATAGCTTAGCCTTACCCTATTATATTTGCATTTTGTGCTGATCTCAACAATTGTTAATATACCTCTGCATCTGTATGTTGAGGGCATATATCTTATTTTAGCTGTGTTCCCAATATTGGAATCTATAATTAGATATTAAGGATTATGAATTTTTCAGGCCAGGGTGTTGTCTAACAACATTGTTTAAGCATCAGATGAAAGGTGAGATGCATACCTGATTTACAGCTTTAGATTGTTGCTATGCATTGTGTATCAAGGTTTGAGTTAATCACTTTTCAAATGAGAGACAAAGATATATGAGTAATATGGTCAATTTGGGAACTGTTCAGTTTATAAAGAGTTTTTTTAAACTATTTGCATTGCTATAATTGATTTTGTAGCTATGTCGATCCTGTAATGCTGATCTATGAATGCAGACTTAAAATAATCGTGTACATAATACAAGTAGACTTCATTTATTGCCATTCGCAATTACAATGATGATGATGAAAAGTAATTTTCTGACCAATCCTCCCACTTGTGACAGGTCTGTAAAGCAAAAATGAAGTAAGATCATAAGCACAGTTACAGTTTCTCTTAGTGACCACTTCATTTAATGATTGAGTTGCCAGTCACAATTGTGGAGGGTGAAACAAGGACTGCCTGTGAAATAAAAATAAAAATGCAAATACTCCTCAAAATCATAGTATGCTTATTGCATATCTTAATGATGGTGCTGAAGGAAATCCATTTTTAAAAAACAAACCTGGATCAAAGGCTTTATTTTATTCTCCAAAATATCAAGTTACCCAACAATTCTTGTAATATCATTTAAACTGGTGGACCAGGGAGCCTCTGATGAGCTACCAAGTCCATTTTCTTATTATCTAGTTGCAGTTATTGTCTGGTGAATATTATAGAACATATGGGCCTCTACCCACTGATTTATTCCCAGTACTAACAATATTCATATTTAACAATTCCATGGCAACCCTACTTTTTCAGAGATTTCACATATGCAAAACATCAAAAACAAATAGCTCGAACAAAAGGACGATTTGGAATATGGCTTAGAAAGGTATTTTTTACACACAGCTTTTCTTTCTTTCTTAAAGAACAGCCCTAAAAAAGAAATGTGTGTTAATAAACACGACTGTCAGAAATGCCTTCCAGTACATATTTCTTTATGCCAGCATCAGACTTTAATGTATTAAAAGAGATAAGGAAAACCTGGTGTACTTTTGTGAAATGTAACCCCACTTTAACAAATAAAATGTTCCTGAAGCTCTCTTGTATCAATGAGAAATATGCCAGTTAAAATAGGGCAAATATAAAGCAAGCTTTGCCTGATACACTTTTCAATGAATATGGTCAAGAAATTGAATTGAAAAGAAATGAAGGAGAGCGGTGATTTAATCAATGTATTACATAAATAAAGGAACCAGTAATAGTTTGGGTAAATACAATTGCTATGTTAAGATTCATCTGAATTATTCAGACTGAGGATGTAAAGAATTATGGCCGTGTCTTAAGTCAACTTTTATCTCCGTGTACTACAGTGTTCAGCTTTGAACTTGACACTGGAACATAATTATGTCCTGTTGAATTAGATTAATTAGAGTCAGGTATCAAAATGCCACTTTTGATTGTGAAAATGTTTCCATAATTAATTTATGCAAATGCAATTAAGCTAAACTATTGTAAGCTGTTTACTCCTGAGAAGCTTGTTTTTTTTTTTTTTTTCAGAATTGGAATATCTCACTTGCAGGCTGCCTCAGGGTAGCTGCCTCAGGAAAAAGGGAATGTTGTAGAGAAACTGACATCTATCCTGGGAATCACAGAGAAACAGCCTTATGCTTTTTCCCTTTATTAACTCACCCCGACTTCACAATAGATGAAGACACCCATTGTTGTTCAGAATTAACAGCCATTAGTAATTGCATAGATTCACTGCTCCAAATAATCTGGGCTGTTGCAAGACGTTTTCTTGGTGGAACCAAATGAAGAGGCAATGATGAACCAAGCTTTGTACCATCACAATGCAGTACTGACTTTTTTTGTAAGAGTCTCGTAATGTCATGCACATGTGAAATGGGGGGAAAATTTGCATTACGATGGCACAAAGCCACTTTCAGATTTTTGGATCTAGTCTGTTACTTTTCTGGTAACCCCAAAACTTTCTATTTTTTCCCCTCAGCTAATAATGAACCAGCATGGGTCATAATGTGAAGGATTATTATTGTAGGCTAGAGCTGTAAGCTTAATAAATATAAATATTTGCAAAGATTAGATCCTTGTCTTCTGATAATCAAAGCTCTAGACTCAGCTTCTGCTGGATTAAGGCTTCAGAAGAAGAGGAATCTGTTCAAGAACTGCTACCTCTATTGAATCTGACAACTACCGCCTCTTCCATTTCCAGAAACACTAAAGTTAGACAATGGGTAAGAGTCAGATGAACAATCAAGCAGTAAGCTACAGCCTAATCAAGGAACTACTGAGAATGCTTCCATCAACACTGACAGGGCAAGCCATTGCATATAAACAGAGAACCAAACCCCATTCCCTTCCAGTACTGATGAAGTTACCTAGTTGGGTAATGAACCGTCTGCAAGAAAAAAACCAAACAGAGAGAGCACCAAGAACCCCACAATCAGAACATTGAATTCCCAAGTAGCTGTAAAGTTTCTTGAAGGTATATCATATATAGCATTATATAAATTGACAGATAAATAGGGCTCTGATTTCATAGTCATGGCTACCATCTTGGCATTTTCCTTCCATTTCTGTGGTGAGCTTGGTTTTATGAAAGGTTTGGCTAGGAGGAACTGGGCAATGGTGTGTACCTCTTTTCATAGGTTCATGATGCATGCACCTTTAAATACCTAGGTATTGGTTGAATATGTAATACAGAATTAAACATTTATTTAAGAGTTATTCTGTGTCTTTGTCTTGTACTTGATATGGAATACTTGGGTCTAGTGGGATGATCTTTCTCATCTTCAATACAGACCACCTACAATAAAAAAATGCTTACTAAACCTGTATGACCTCATCCTTGGCAGAGGGAGGCAAAGACTTTCAGGAACAAGAGAAAAGAAACTGATCTTGGCAACATAAGAAAAAGACACTGAAAACAGCTGTGATTAATTATAGGTGGGTGTTGATGTAATTTGTTTGGAAACTTCCATGAGATTGAACTTCGATGCAGGCCTACCCTGGGTACTGCATTTGATTGGCTTTGAAGTCTTCCTTCGCCATCATTTCTTCTGTGTTTCTTGACTGCCTGGAGAGATATACAATACTTTCTCTCCTTCTGTCTTCTGTTTTTAAGTGTTTCTGAATGTCACTATGTTCTTTTCTTCCTTAAGATGTCTGCAAACTTAAGTACTCATACTGGTGTGATTATTACTTCCAAATAATGTGTTCCATTCCTATACATTTTATGTATCTAGACACAAACATA